GCAATTAAGATTGATATTGCATAAGATTCATAGTTTTGGGACTTACAATTGGTATCAGAGCTTAACGGGTATCAATCGATTCAAGGACTTTGGGTTCAAAATCTTCCTGTTTTGAAGTATTGATTTAATCGAAACCTTTGGTTAAATTGATAAATTTTTATGTTCTTCGTGAAACTGCTCTTGGTGTTCTTCGTGTTCATCGGGAACTCTGGATATATTCTCCTGATTTATCGGGATTAGATTTGGACTATCATCATTTAAATCACGAGATTTACGGGATATCGTTATATTCTTAAAATAAAAAATCAAGGTTTTTGGTGATAACATCCTAAAGGGTTTTCGGTGGTTATCTGGTCAAAGTTGGAGTTTTCAGTCAACAAGTCATGGAGTTTTCGGTCAACAAATTCTACGAGTTTTTGGTCAACTCATCCGTTGACTTTCCTAGTTTTCGGTCAAACTTGAATTTTTTTTTGACTTTCTCGGTGTTACTAATTTAAAATGGAATCTCAGTCCAACACTTCAATGCATCAGGAGTTGGGTTCTATTATGGGGACATCCACTCGCGTTCCTCAACTTTTGTCAGCTGATGGGTTTCCAGAATGGAGAACTACATTAAAATGAAAGATTCCAAGATATGGAGGAGCATTCTTAAAGGTCCAGTCAGAATTACAACAACTTTGAATGATGAAGCTAATACAGTTGTTGATAAAAGGATAGATAATTACACAGAGTAAGACTATGAAAAGGTTGAAGAACATGACATAGCTCTTGCCACTCTTAACATGGCCCTATCTCCTGAAATTGCCCAAGGCTTTAGGGAATACACATCTGCAAAAGATTTATGGGAAGCCTTGATTAAGGTTTATGAGGGAAATAAGGACATGAGGCAGAGCAGATAGGACCTGCTTCGACAGAGGTTCAACTTGTTTAATCATGTCCTAGGGGAGTCTCTTGAAGCTCAGCTGAAAAGGTTTATTACTCTCACTACTGAAATGACTACAGATGGAATTAATCTACCATGCTCAGAGATTAACAAGAAGCTACTAAATTCTCTTCCACATAGCTGGGACATGAATGTGGTCGTGATCAAGAAGACTAAAGATCTAAGCAAGCTTACCCTTGCTAAAGTGATGCCCATAATCAAGGTATGTGACATGGATGATAAGCAACGTTGCCGGAATTATATTGCATCAAGACAAATATGTGGAAGACATACTAGAAAAGTTCAGTTTTAAAGATTCAAAAATTGCTTTGACTCCAATGGCAGAAAGACCACTGTTGACTCAAGATCCAGATGGGGAATCCGTAGATCAAACTAAATATTGATCAATGATCGGATCTCTGATGTATCTGACTGCCATCAAACCTGCCATCATGTTTGCCGTCTGTCAATGCGCTCGTTATCAAGATAATCCTAAACTTTCTCATTTAATTGCTGTTAAAAGGATTTTTAGGTACCTTAAAGGTAGCCATACACTGGGTCTTTGGTATCCTAAAACTCCCGATTTCGATTTATATGCTTTTGCTGACAACAATTATGGAGGGTTTGATCTTGACAGGAAATCTACATCGGGTGGATGTCAGTTTTTAAGGGACCGACTGGTGTCATGGTAATGCAAGAAACAGAAAATGGTGTCGACCTCAACGGATGAGGCTGAATACGTTGTTGCCTTAACCTGTTGCTCTCAGATTATTTGGATTCAACACCAATTGTTGGATTACGGTTTGAACTTTCTTGACACTTCCATTTTTTTTTATAATGATGCGGCCATTCAAATTGCTAAAAATCCCGTTGAACATTCCAAAACCAAGAACATTCACATTAAAATTCATTTTATTCGAGACTGTTATGAGCGTAAACTCATTCGTTTGGAACAAACTCATACTGATAACAACGTGGCGGATTTGTTTACCAAACCCTTCAGTAAAGCTCGTTTCAATGTGTTTGTGGGCTTTCTAAAAATGATTGGTTTCGATGATTAAATTTCTATTTTTTATTTTCTGTGTGTTTAAATTTGCGCATTTCTTTATTTAATTTCTTCTCCATGCACAAATTTAGGGGAGAAATCAAAAATACAAAAAAATTAAAAAATCAAAAAGACAAAATTGCAAAAATGGTCCCTGTGGTATGCATTTTTTTGGGGTTTTAGTCCAAACTCCGACTTTTTTGGATTTGTGGTCCTTTTGAGCTAGTTTTGTTGCGTTTTTGATCCCTCTGAAAAGTGAAATGACGGTAATACCCTTTGGTTATTTATTTTACATTTTTCTTTCATTTCTTTTTAAATCTAATATTAATATATTTATTTTAATAATTAATAAATTAAGAGGGGGACCTCTCTCTCTCTCTCTCTCTCTCTCTCTCTCTCTCATTGTACATCTCCGACGAGGAAAGAATCCGGTGAACCAAGGCTGCCGCCCCTGTTTCAGTTTCTCTCCTTCCTCCCTCATTCTTCCCTGTCGATCAACAACTCAAAACATCCCCTCGTTTGTAGTGGTCCTCGATTTTGGCTTCGATAAAGTGAGAGGAAAAAGAACTGGTAAGCCAGCGAGCTGTTACAACTCCCCAGCCATCCTTACTTGGTTCTCAGTCACCTCTAGCACCTCCTCTCTCCGCCTACTATTGGTGATTTGAAGCCACAGCTTCGACGAGTGAGCTATCAGCCGAGAAGGAGCTCATCGAAAAAACCGGCTGCTCTTCCCTCTTCCACCATTATAGCCGCCTTTGACTTTTCCCCTTGTGACTGCTTAACTACTGCAGAACCACACTCCACCATCGCAACTTCCTGATCGCAACCTTCCATTCGTGATTTCAGCTTCTCCGAACAGACGAAGACAGAGACATGTTCCCTTAGCTCTCAACCGGAGATGATGCAAGTTAAAGCCTCATAGGGTCACCGGAGATCAACCACTCTGTCCCTCCTTGCGATTTGAATGACCACCATCGGAACTTCTCATCGCTTCCGATTCGTTCATTCCTCCCCAAACAGATGAATGACCCCCTTTCACATGTGCGTTTTTTATGTTAAGATATATATATATATATATATATATATATATATATATATATATATATATATATATATATATATATATATATATATATATATGTGTGTGTGTGTGTGTGGGGGGGGGGGGGGGGGGGGGGGGGGGGGGGCAAATTAATTACTTATTTTCTTTTTCATTTAAATTAAATAGAAAAAACATAAAAAATATATCAGAAGGGCATTACAGTAATTTCAATTTACAAGGGACCAAATTTACATACAAACATGGCCAAAAGGACCACGAAGACAAAAAAGTCGTGGTTTGGACTAAACCCAAAAAAAATGCATACCACAGGGACCATTTTTGCAATTTTGTCAATCAAAAATACAAAAATATTTTTTCTTTCGTAAGTATTCTTGGGAAGTGATATGAAGTCTAGTGCTAAAGAGCAATATGAGAGGCGTGTAATGCACTGAAGCTGAATTGTTTAGACTCTGTGTTCAATGTGCTGGTAGGCACGAAGGATTAAAAATTAATGGACTAGACATAGCTGACAATGAAAGGACTAGACAATGTTAACTCATCTGGACTTAGATAGTTTCATTTGGACTGACCATATGACGCTTGGATAGATTGAGCAGTGAGATAAACAAGGGAGCCTACAAGATACATTAAAGTTACTTATCATCTAGAACTGTGGCTTAACACTTCTTCGATGTACAGACTAATGTCCTTAATTCTGGTGTTGATAGGGTGACTGGGGGGTTCTGATAAAGTAGGTCGGTGTGAAATTGTTTTTCTTTCTTATCCTCTATGTCAGTCATATGTTGCCCAATTTGCGTGATCGGAAAATCCGACCTGGGACGCAACATATGCACCTCTATTTCTATACATCTCTATCTATGCTTCTATCTATCTATGTCAGTCATATGCTGTCCCCTTTGCGTGATCGGAAAATCTGACCTGGGACACAGCATATGCAACTTTCTATCTCTCTACCCCTCTATCTGTGTTAGTCATATGTTGTCCCCTTTGCGTGATTGGAAGAGATCTGACCTGGGGCACAACATATGCATCTCTATATTTATCCTCTCCCAAATAATTGAGCACTCACCTAAAGTAAAGAGCTCTTTGGAATTCTTGGACTGCTAGGGTATACCGTGAACTAGGGAACACGTTCTAGTGAACTTAAAACTGAATTAACTAAAGGTTGTCTGTAGATCTCGCTGCTGAATTTAAGCGGACAACAATATCCTTTGTCGTCGTCAGCAAAATGATCTATTTAGGAATATAATCACAATGTCTTGTCATTTATTATCTGTCCATTTTGTCAATATCTTTTGTGTTTAAGTGGACCACAATACTAGTGATTAACCAGAGCTATTCATAAAAGTGTGTGCTGATAAAATTTAATAAATTGCTAGACAAATTTTGATCCCAAAATATTTGAATTTATTTAAGTGTGTTTATTTTATTTAAAATTTTTATTTTATTTTTATTTTTAATTTTATTTGGCCTTTATTTGTCTTCATTTTAGATTATGGAAATTTTAAATTTTATTTTATTTCAAATTTAATTTTATTGTGTTGTTTGTCTCCGAAATGAATCATTTAAATAAAGCCCATCAATCTTGGTGGCCCGAAAGGCCGAGAACCCAAATGTTGGGGTATAAAAGATATAATTTTTGTTTTCGGCTTCATTCTTCAAATTCTCAGTTAATTCACCAAAATCAGTTTCCCTCTTTTCTCTCAAAACCCTAGGCTAGAACAGTTCATCGACGATGTCAAAATCATCAAATTTCACTTGATTTCTTGAAATCTTCTCAAGGTATACATAGTTCGAACATCATGCTTTACATTTTATTGTGTTTTGAAGTATTTGCAGGTGGTTAATGGAGTTTTTTCGGCGTAACTGTCAAGGACATGATTCGTCGGGTTTTTCTCGGGTTTTCGGTTTAATTCGGATCTGACAAAAAACCATTTTGTTTTGACCGAAAATGTTCCATTTGACCGGAAATGTTCCATTTGACCGAAAACAACATGGTTGACCGAAAACGTATGGTCAAAAGTAATTTGACCGAAATCTCGAATTTGATCAACCGTAAACAACTCTAGACTGAACAAAATCAACTTTTTGGACCAAACTTTGATTTTTGAGAAAATAAATTTTAATTTTAATTTTTATTAATCTCATTTGACTCGTTTGGTGTAGATAAATGGCAAATCAGTTAAATTTTTTGAAAATCACAATGTTGCTGGATATCTTATGGATCCACATGCTGCTCATAAATAATTCAAATCTATGATCGTGGGTTTGAATAATTGCAGAATCTCTCACGCTTTGCATTCTAATCCAGTCATCTATAAGGGCCTGATTGCTGATTTTTGGAAAAATGCCTCAATCAATAATAAGGGAGTGGATGGAGCTGATTCTATTGAATCAGTGGTGAAGGGAACTCAAGTAGTTGTTTATGAGCAAGTTATCCGAGAAGTACTTAAATTTGGAGATGCTCCTGCATTCCCAATTGAATACCCTGTTAATCAAGTGAAGGAAGTACTTGAGAAGATGTACTATGAAGGAACCTATCCCCCCTACCATCAAGAAGCAGCTGCCACCTTACTGGAGGTTTCTGGGGCACTACTTTGTGAGTTACATTTCTGGAAGGAAGGGAGGGTTTGATGAGATTAGTCAGACTGCAACCTCAACCATTTTTGCCTTAACAATGAATTGGGATTACAACTTTTCAAATTACATTTTTGAAGAAATGAAAAGGAATCTCCAAGGGAGGAAGAAGGATCTGTTCTTAATGTATCCCAGGTTTCTTCAAATGATTGTGAATGAAAAATATCCCCAGGTTGAGAGATCTTCTGATACTTTGGACATGAAAGCCTTGGGTCCTAACACCTTTGGGCTCATGAAGCAATCAAGACAATCCACCAAAGTCACTTTTCAAGGATTGAAAAAGTTGGTTAAATTTGGAAAATTTGTAGAGACAAAAGGTGTGCAAGCTTCTAGTACTCCAATTGCTATTGTGGCAGAAGAACATGTGACACCATCAAGGTCAAATATCAGTAGTTCGGTTGAAGTCTCTGAAGATGATGATGATGATGATGATAACAATGATGATGATGATAACAATGATGATGATGATGACTCTGATGATATTGATAATATGAGTTTTCATTTGTTTTTTCCACCGAAGGAGCCAGTCAATGAAGTCGTGATTACTCTAGCTAAGACAGAGACTGAAATCAATATTTTCAGGCAACCGAATATTCCAACGCCCGAACAGATGGATGCACTTATCAAAGAACTACAGTTTACTGCAAGGAAGCCTCCCCAAGTAGTTTCTGTTACTATTGAATCTCCATCTGAGAGTGATAAAGATGAACCAAATGCCTCCATGGTGCCAAAGAAGCGAAGACGGAGAGATCTAAGGCCGGGAGTGCTTATCATTGAACCAGTACAACAATCAGTTTCTATAGTTGAACCAACCCAGGTTCATGAAGATGTTCAAAGCCCAATCATTGAACCAGCCCAGGTTCAAGAATATGTTCACGACCCAATTGTTGAATCAGCCCATGTTCATCAAGACGTTCAGAGCCCTAATTTTGACGATGACTTTAATTTCGTAGCAAATGAGGAAACTTTTGCTTCGGGAAGTTCTTCTGCCCCACCACCTCCAGAGCACGATGTTGCATCCATTAAGCTGGCCAAGATTCTTGCTTTTCAAGATTCTATTCCTCAGTCGAGAGGAAATGGTATATATATATTGGCTCAGAACAAGGAGGTGATGAAGACTCTCAACAAACCATCTTTGAGCTCAGACAAGAGATATTAATTCTGAAACAAGAATCCATTGAAAGGATCTGCTGATTGGGAAGTTGGATGTGAGAGTTTCAGAACTTGAAAAAGAGAATTCTCAGAAGAATAAACAAATCTCTGAACTTCAAGCTAATCTTGGCGGGCTGACATCTTTCTACTTTGATCTCAAAGACAAACTATTTAGAAAGTTTGGTAATAAATTCAAGATGTACAGTTCTGATGATGGAAAGGCTCCTGAATCATCTGAAAGGGTGGAGATTAGACCTGCTTCGGATTCCAACATTGATCAATATTTATCTTCTGGTCCTGCTACAGCTGAAGAGAGAAGGGAGAAACAGAAGAAAGTAAGTGTGTTGAGGAATGATAAAATGCTTATGATGAAGAATTCTGGTCAGAATGCAACTGGTGATCAACCTCAGATGTTCATTAAAGAAGTTGGAAAAAGAAAATTTGCTGACAGATATGACGATCGTTCAGGTATTCGCATGTGGGGATTTGAAGCTGGCAAGAACATGTGGGTTGTGAAACGGAGGAGTGGAAATATTGAATACTATGAGAAGAAGGTTGACTTTTTGTCTTGGACAAAATTTGATCTTGCAGAGCTAGTCCATGCTCCCTTTCACAATCCTACAAATGAACCCAATGCATGGGCATTTAAAAACTTTCTAAAAGACAAATCGAGGCATATCTTTGCAGGCGTGTCGACAGCGTCCTCATTCGTTAGAAAGGTCAAGGGTGTCATCGATCCGCTCGCCAACAAAACCATGGTAAATGTTATATGGCCGCCTACAAAGAAAACGAAAAAGATTCCTCTCTCTTAGCCTATACCTAATGGTTCTTTAAATGATCTTCAATTCTAGGTATATGATGAGGCAATAGCCACTGTGGTGATAAAGACTGAAAAGGATCAGTTTTGTCTTGTTGATCCTAGGGATTTGTTGAGACCTGGTAAGCGTGACATTCACACTTTATCTAGGAATCAGCTTATGGTGGAAAATGAAATGTTCGAGTCTGTTGCGAAAGAATTTACCGACATGATTGCGAAGATTATTGATCAGAAGTTGTGGGTAGGAGCGTTAGCTGCATCTGACATTCACCTTGTAGAGAAACCATAAAGCTAGCCAATAATAAACGAAGGGGGAGATTGTTAATTGTTGTTTATGTTGGGCTTATATTGTTAATTGTTCTTGGTCTTAGAATACTACTTTATTGATAGGCTTATTGTGTTTCCGGTTGTAAGGTTAGGCTTGGGCCTTTTATGGCGTTGCATTTTGGCTCATATATATATATATATATATATATATATATATATATATATATATATATATATATATATATATATATATATAGTTGTATGCAGCCGGATAGGAGTTAGTTGTTCCATTCTTAGTATTCGGCTGCATTAAGTTCATATGTACCAGGCGATTTATTCCTAATAGAATCGTGTGCATTTGAAGTGAATTTGTGTGTTCTTGAATCATCGCTTAATTAACATTCCACATTCTTTAAGCAATTAAGATTGATATTGCATAAGATTCATAGTTTTGGGACTTACATGAGGATCTGTCTTATTTTATTGCGTTTTAGTGCCAGCCGGCTTCTTTACTCAAATGCTGCTTGCTTTGTGCTTTATGTGACCCATGTTGATGAGAGTTAACCATCAAACGTAGACAGTAACATTACATGCTATGAAGGTTAAATAATCTTAGAATGATGGACTTGGACCTATTGCGCAGCTCTTGTCTGAGTCCAACCGTTGTAGGGTTGAGTCCTTTAGTCGAAGGATTATTTAAGCTTGGTTGCATGTAATTGTATTCATGAAGTGGTTAGCTAACATTGGTAGGGGTCTTTCAGCAGCTGATGGTAGAGGGGTGTGGGTGAGTCCTAGGGTAGCCTAGGGAGTATTTTAGTGTGGTTGCTTCGTTGTTGAGCAGGATTCAGGAGTATTCTATGACTAGGACTTAGAGGACCCAAGATGATCCTTGAGGAAAGTATGGATAGGTGTGGAAAGTAGTATTGGGCCCGTACTACTAGAAGCACATGATTGTGTGATTCGTCATTCAGCAGATGTTCTTTCGAAATTTTAATTGTGTCAGCCGAGATTCAGTGGTCGGACTAATTTGTCATCAAATTCATTATGTTCTATGTTCTTTGGGTCTTCGGGTATGTTCACCCTCAATGGTGGAGTGGGAACTTGGTTCATAGAAGAATCAGGTTTTGGTAACCTTCGGGATCACCGTGGAAGTATTTTCGAGATAGTTGCGTAGAGTCGTAATCCGTTCAGTCACAATCAAGTATGGGATCTTGTTTTGGTTGCTCGTGAGGATGTTTTTTGTTATTGAATGAGGTGTTAATTCTATTATCCCTGGTATTTCTTCCATCTTTCGATGAGATTATGGGTTTCCTAAGTGTGTGTATGGGGGTAGTTCATGTGAGCTGGGCAAGATAGCATTGGAGCACTTGGTTCGAATTGTGTGCATAGTTTTTTTTTAGGTTATAGCTTTCGAATCGGACCAAGAGCTCAACCGTTATCCTATTCGCAGGTCGCGTGCGGCCATGTTTTTTAAGGTTTGCTTTGGTAGCAGCTTTATGGTGCTCAGTTGGTGTTGTTATGAAATTGATTAGGTCCCTTCAAGGCAATGGAATGAGGTGAGTATCTTTACGCCCGGAAAGTTGGGCGAGCGATGCAATGGCGACAAGGTAGGTGTGATATCGGGAGCATTCTAGACATGGGTTGAGGGCCAGGGAGGGCATTCTAGACTCATGATGTGGGCTCGGAGGCAATCCAGACCTATGTTGAGGACCTTTTAAGGGTATTCCAGACATAGGTTGAGGGCCTAATGAACATGGTTGTTCATTTCTTCTGCTCGTGGTGCTTTCGGTGTTGAGGCGCTAATGGGAGTCAGACGAGACACAAATCTGTTGGTTTGATAAAGGAAGCAGCAAGGGTTGTGGGGAGTATCAGTCAGAAATCAGGAAGTCTTTGTGGGATGTATGCATTATATTTCCAGTTGTTCGCAAGATGTTGCTAGGGTGTTGGTTTTCAAGTTGGGAATTGGTTGGGAAGTCGCAAGTCAAAAAGTTCTTTATGATTGTCTCGAGTGGTTGTCCAGGTGGGGGTACACCTGAGTCTATAAGGGGGTTGGATGTTGGTGGGATGTCAAGTCCACCAAGCAAATTACACCCTTTGTTTGCAAATAAAACGTAATATAATGGTAAAAAGGGGTATCGATCCTCGGGGAAATGGTTGTATTCAATCACCAATGCAATCCAATAGAACTAGTGTAAATAAACTAACTAACTACAATTAAACTAAAAGGGGGGTGTTATGATTGCTTGAAAATTAAAAGACTTGAATAACTAAAAACTTGCAATTAAGAAAGAAAGTGAGATGCTCAAATATTGGAGAGAATTGGTAAACCAAGGCAATTCAACACAATGAACATTTGTGTGTTTATCATTAGGATTTAACATGAAGCTTATCATTCACCCCAAATTGGTTATAGCAATCATGAAGCATGATATGCCAAGATTTCTCATATGTAGTATGGAGGTTGGGGAAGCCCACAACTCACCTTCTTAATCAAAATCAAGGATCCAATTGAAGCAATTGAATCCAAGAAGTTGATTAGCCTTAAGAATGAAGAAATCCCCAATTCCTTGAGGATGTCAATGCTTACACATCCATAAAGGAGTTATGATTCATAAGCTAGAGATGATTTCTACCATCATAAAACCCTTGTTCTAAGTAAATTCAATGATTCAATGCTAAACCAAAGAAATAAACCAACAATTGCTTATTAAAGTACCAAGCTCATGATCAAAGCACTAAACAAGCATATGAAATATGAACTAGAATCATAGACATAAGATAAATGATAAATAAGCATAAATCCTTCAAAAACCCACAAACATTCAGAGGTTTTAGCCAAGGTCTCCCAAATTAGAGAGTTTAGCCACTCATGGCAATAGAACAACAATCACAAAAGTCTAATTGCATAAAGAAACTACCAATAACTTGGAAAGATGAAAAGAAATGAGTCTTGAGCTCCAAAATCGCCTTCTTCTGGTCTCCCATGGTGTAAAATCGAAGTGATAGCTGATAGATCCCATCCCCCAAGGTAATGGCAAGCCAAATGACCAAAATGCCCAAAACTGGGCAGTTGCGTGGGTACCCGCGCGACGGAAATTCCACCCGCGCAAGTGCTGCTGGAACGCTACTCATTTTTCCTCCACTAACCATCCCATTACCAAAGATTCTCTTGGTCCCCTCCATCTCCCACATGATTCAAACTAGCCAATCATCTTTTAGCTTCAAAAATGGATGCTCCAAGCCCAAATTAATTATCCATGATCCATCTTCACAAGCCCACTTCATCCAAGCCTTTATCTTTTTAAGCCCAAATCTCCTTTGGTGGATCTGCCAAGCCCAATAATGCATCGAAAAGCCCACTAAGCCCAACTCCAGTCAAACCGCAACCGCAATGAGCTCCAAAACCCTGCAAAATTCCTTATACAAAATAAAAAGTCCATGATACGATCCATGATAAAGAAAATAAAGAATATACAATGCAATACTAATAAAAAGAGCTAAAAATCTAAAATAAACTATTAAAAATAAGGAAATAAAATAAGCTATCAAATCACCCCAAGCTTAAACCTAACTTGTCCTCAAGTTAGAACAAGACTAAAATGAGCTCGGGATGAGCTAAACTAAAAAGGAAAAAGAAAGGGTACCATAGAACTTGGTCAACATCAGTCAACATGGTCAGAATCAGTCTTTCATGGACCCTACACATCTTCAAAATGTTCCCCGCTTCAGAGCCATAAACCACATTCTCAACCACTTGATAGCGAATAGATCACGACTGGATGTAATCGCAGTGTGCAAGACAAAGGAAACAGAGGATGCGCCCAGTGGGGGCACTTTAAATCACCAATGTAGACGATAGTGCACGAAGGAAAGGCGCCTCTTCACACACTATGATTCCTACATTTGTCAGGCTAAAGTGTATAGTACGAGATAGGGTTTTGCAGCGTGGCCTCCGGGCAAACATCCGGTTTTAGAGGCTTCTCCCTTGTACTGTCCTTTATAGTTTACCGTCTCATCGTCAAGGCATTTTCTCACCAAAAATCAAAAAATAAAATAAAATAATAAAAATTCTACTTAACCTAAATCTAAACCTAACAGCTTAAATCTTCAATCTTGAACTTCTGTTATTTGGTCTTCAGCCTCTTTGTTGCTTGATATTCAGTCTTCTTAAATCTTCATTTTTTTTAGATAAAAAGTCTTGAACTTGGATTCTTCTTCTTCTTTTTGTGTTGCTCTTTTTCTTCATTTTTCTTCTTTGTTTTTGTTGCTTTTGTTTAATCTTCTTCGTTGTTTCTTTTTGTCTTCACTTTTCCAATTTCTTCAATTTTTTGTGTTTTCTTCTTGGAATGTCTAAGGAATTTCACCATGTAACATAGGATGGAGGCTAACATGAACACCTAATGATCATTAACAATGTGCCAAGATCAACTAAAAAGGGTGGGATATGATTCAAAAATGGGTGTTACCAAAAAAACTTGGTCCCAAAAGATGTGAATTGGGGGACCCACTTCAA